CACAGACAGCTTAGAGTCCAGTGCCTCAGGAAGGCCATCAAACACCTGACAGGTACTCATTTAACCCAGTAATACATTCTCTGAGAGGCAAGGCTTTGGGAAAGTGAAGAGGTTATGATCATTAAGGAGACAGAGGATGCATTTGCACTGTGAAATGCTTATACATCTTGTGGCAAGCAAGGTGTATAAATGTTTATACACCCTGAGACACCTGCAATGATCCTCATGAACCTACGTTCATGGCCTTGTGTAATTCCCGCCACTGAGTGTGGGCTGGACCTACTGACTCACTTCTTAGGACTAGAATATGGCAAAAATGATGGGATATCACTTCTATGATTAGGTTTCAAAAGACTGACTTCTGTCCAGTTAGCATTGTCTCTCTGGCTGGCACACTGTCTTACCCATTCACTTGCTTTCTCTCCTAGGAAGTCATCTGCTATGTCATGAAGTACCTAGGAGAGCCCACACATGGTAAAAAATCAAGGGAGGTTTTAGGCCAACAGCTTGTGAGGAACTGAGGCCTTCAGTCCAACAGGCCTCAAGGAACCAAGTCCTGCCAATAGCCACGTGAATGAGCTTGGAAGTAGATCCTTCCCCAGTTAGGCCTTCAGATGAGACTCCAGTTTCATTAGAGTTTCTGAGATGACTAAGCTGAACACAGACTCCTGATCTATGGAAGCAGAGATAATACACATTTTTGTTTCTAGTCACTGTGTTTTAGAGGAATTTCTTATGCAACAATTGATAACTAACACACAGCCTCAGCTCTGATGTCTACAGCTTTACAATAGAATGTTTTTGCACTGGCTCTTATACATGAAGATATAGTGGCAATAGGAAAACATTGCTTCAAGAGGAATTTACTGCAAATTCAATAGTACTATCTGCTAAGGATGTGGAGATTTGACTTTGAGCATCTTGATTGTATATACACACACAGGTTGAAGATATACATACAAAGGTTTAACTGAAATGATACTTTACCAAGTATGTTATAATGAGGGGTTATGGCCCTCTATGTATATAGCAGCGGTGGTCAAACTTTACTGTGCATTAGAATTGCCTGGGGGTGCTTCTTAAATGGGCCAAATTTCTGGGACCCATCGCAAAGAGGGTAGGTGGGGACTAAGAATCTACTTTTTCTTTTTAAGAAATCGTGTCTTGCTGTGTTGCCCAGGCTGAACTTGAACTTCTGGGCTCAAGTGATCCTCCTGTCTTAGCCTCCCAAACAGCTGGGACTACAGATGTGTGCCGCCATGCCTATATAAAATCTGGATTTTTAACCAGCATTCTTAGTGATTCTGATTCAGGGTATTGGAACCTCATACTTTGAAAAAAATAATTAAAAAAATTATCCCCAATACTACATTTAGTAAACCACAAATGCCTTTTCCATACACAGAAAATAAAACTTGCTAAAGTAGACTGACTAGAACACTGGATGAAAGTAGCTCACAACATCCACTTAATGGGACTTGGTATATTATGGGAACACTCGGAAGGACGTGAAAGAGGCCAGAGGGGCTGAGCTTCCAGAAAGAGCCAAGAAATTCTCTGAATAAGGGCTGACCCTTAGTTGACAGTGTGTGAACAGCCAATTCCTGTTCCTCACTGAGAGCAAGGATTCTGGGGCCTCGAGGGCAGAGGATGAGAGATGTTTGAGGGACAAGATTTTAAGAAACTGAGTGCCAAGCAGATTTAGCATGAACTACCTGCTTCACCGCTTGCCTGCATCTCAGACCAGCACCTCAGGCCAGGCACCCAGGGCGGCATCACAGGCGGGAGCCCTTGCAGCCATACATCCTTTCATCTCCTAAAGAAAAGATGTTGACACTACCTGCCCAAAAAAGCTGAAAACTGAACAGGAAAAAGAAACAGAAAAGGAAAGAATAACGATCCAAGCCCTATAGATGGAATTCTACTGGGAAATGGTAGCAAGAAGAAGAAAACCATGAAAAGAACCCTGGAACCACCGTGACCTTTCCAATGGGGAATAAGGAAGTTCCTGGAGAAACGCAGTCTCCACTACAGAAACTGCCTAAGTGGGAGAGGCATTTTCTTTTGGCAAAAATTTCCTGGTCATCCTGTATCAAAACCTCTTTTTCCCTATGGAAAGAGGCTGACAACTCTGCCAAAAAAAAAAAAAAAAAAGCCATATGGAATTCCCTATTTTTTTCCTCACAACATCTGGTCAGCATTGGGGATCTGAGTAAAGAATGGCAACGGCACTGATTCAGGGGCCAACAAAATCTGTAAGTGTCTGGGAAGGTGATGGCATGGCTGGAGTGGGTCCTCCCTTTGCTCTGTGGCCTGTGCTGTACGCTTTTACACTATCACACATAAGGTCTCTGCAGATGGCTCCAAACACAAACAGTCCCTGTGGAGGCATCAATGCACACAAAAAGTTAAAATTATGTGTAGGTGGAGATCGTTTCAGGATCCGGGAAGATAAGTCTTTAAATCAAGTTCAGTCATTTTGTTTCTCCCCTTCAGGCAAGAACCTGCTAGTTCATGGAATTCTCATTTGAAGTAGTTATCACCAGCAACCTGATGCTATTAGACTTCCACAATCTTTCATCATATCATTCTGGAATTCCAAAAACTTGAAAAGTAACAGGATGTTTTTCCCCTAACTCATCTGGCAGCAAAATCTGTTTTGATCTCATCTTCCGTAGTGCCAAAATCTCACCTGAATGGACAAGGAGTTGTTTACAGTCTTGGGCTGTCCAGAAAGATGAATGAGTTAGATTTGCGGAGACACTTGGTGGTGATATCACGCACTACATCATCTATGCACTACATTATCTTTTGGAAACCCAAACTCTTTGGAATTCTGAAAGAAATCAGTTTCAGAAAAAAGAAAATAAAGCCTCGTATTTTTCTTCTCAGCTGCCACTGCTGCTAAGAGTGCCCAAATTCTGGTGTCTCACTGTAGGATCAGAAGCACACAAATCTAATTGCAATGCTTTTACAGGGAACTGCTCACCAAGTGGAGAGGCCTCTTCAAGAGCAATTGAGAGAGGTTTGTCTTATTCCCGCCAGTAAGATATTGGTGTTAACTCTTTACCATAGAGTTCAATGAACTAAAATACAGGAACGAATTAAGTATTTTTCTGAGTTTCCAAGTGGCCTGATGTCATCTAACATTCTTAACATAAAGATTCTTAAAGACTCTTAAGATGAAGAGGGACTTCTCCCTCAAGAAGTAGTTTCTGATAACTTGGGGGCTTCTTAACATGTTAAAATATACCCCTTCCCCGTTAACTGCCCTTGAATTAGGCACATCTCATGGCTTGTGTGCGTGTGTGTGTGTGTGTGTGTGTGTACAGGGGGTGGGGGGCTTTTTTTAAAAAGCAGCTTTGAGATACAATTTATATTCCATAAAATTTACCTGTTTTAAGTGTACAATTCAGTGATTTTGATTAAATGTACAGAGTTGTGGCACCATCACCACAATCTGATTTTGGAACATTTTAATCACACTAAAAATTATCCCTTATGCCACCTGTAGTTGCTCCCCAATCCTCCCTTCTCCCAGCCTCTGGCAATCACTCATCTATATCTTATCTCACCAATTCTGTAAATTTAACATAAACGGAGTGACAGAACATTTGTTCTCTTGTGCCTGGCTTCTTTAACTTAGCATGAAGTTTTTGAGGTTCATCCATGTTGTAGCATGCATCAATCTTTCATTCCTTTTTATTGCTGAATAGTATCCGTTGTATAGACATATCATGTCTAATGACATTTTTAATCAAGATTCCAGAACCCTCCATATTCTTTATAGCATCTATGAGAATGGACGCCTGATGTCAACTCACGCTCACCCTATCTAGCCAGCACTGCACAGGCACACACAGAACCAGCACCTGACAGCCATAGGACAGATGAAGGAATGTATAACCCAAGACAGAACTAAATCCAAAGTCAGATTTCATTTTAATTAACCTGACACCACAATTAAGATTTTAAAAGAAAAAGAAAAAGTTTTATTAATCATGGATTTTATGACTTTGTAATTCAACAGGTAACTTACATTGTACCTTGGGATTGCCCTTTCTGTAGCTGTACATGGTATGCTTACTCCTGAAAAGGTTAGCAAGCATTTGGGTGAAATGATGTTATGGACTGATGCAAAATCACGTCAATACTTTAAGCCTGTTACTATGTTTATCCAACCTATCACCAGCCCCTTATGTCCGCATTTTACATAGTTTGAACTACGGTTGTACATTGGCAAATCACTGAATTTTAGCTAACTGAGCTGGGCATTACAACCTGTGTTAGCTTTGGGAATGCTGGGAGGCTGGATGTTCATACTGCTTCATGTTCTGCCCCTTCTAGGTCCCCAAATCAGCTGTTGCGCACCTCACCCAGATTCAGCACCTAGTGGTTCTGAATAGCCAATGTTCCTCACAAGCAAGGAAAATGGAAACCAGACCCACTGAACCTACCTGATGGGAATTGGGTACAAGGTTATCTGATCCTACTTTCACAGCTATGATTTCTCTTTCTCAAAGGCAATGACTGATGTGAGAACAGGGTGGTACAGAGCAGCAGGGCTGGGAAGACATTTGGGGACGCTCATGGTACTCTCAGAGCCAAGGCTCCTTGAAGGCCCTGGCCCAGTTCTTGGCCACATAGGGGATGTGGGTGGCCCCCCTCCCCCATTATTGGTTCAGGCATTGGAAATTTCATGGTTAACCAAAGGCATATCTCACTGTACATTGGTCCCTTTGAGAAGAAGAGGTGATTGAAGGTGAGGAAAGAGGGAAGAGGGAGAAGAAAGTGGAGAAAGATGGGGTGGAATGGAGAGGGACAGAGAAAAAGAAAGATGATTAAAAAATGTTTATAGGGCCAATTCCACCCATGCCCATGTGAACAAATTAATGCACCAAGCAAAACATAAAATATCACCAAGCTGCAAGAACCATTACAAATAATATTAAAGATAACAGTTGACTTGCTATTAGAATTCACCCCAAGGCTGTATTTACCTGGACTGCTCAAGGGGCTAGCCCTGTCCCCCAGGGTTGGCACAGGATGGTACTGGTGGTTCTTTGAGCCTGGGTACATCCAGTGGTACCTGCCAATTTCCATTTCAGCTCTGCTGTTCACTGCCAATTTCAGGTGGCAAAGAGTCAGTGTCTCTATCTCCAGCAAAGATTCTATATTAGCATTTTTATTTATTCTTTTACCATAGAAAGGAAATGGGGAGTTTCAAAAATATGCTATTGAAATGCAACCCTTCAGTACCAGCATGATCCATTGAAAATGTCCTCCGTTTCTAAAGTGAAGTTTACATAAATCACAAAAATGATCTTTTCTTTATTTTCTCCATCTTCCCCCCCCCCATATCCCACCTCTTAAAATGCTCATTTGGGGAAGATACTATTTATTGTGAAAATTTGGCTTCTCACAATATTTTTCTGTTTCCTTTTCAGATAAACAGAGCACCATAATTATTGCCAGCTGCACTAGCAAAGGTGAACACAGACTCCCTCTCTGTAAGGGTACCCAGTTCCAGTCCAGAAAACCTGGCAAACAACCCAATGGTCTGCTGAATCTTGAATGAAACGCTTGTCCTCCTATTGACGTCTGCAGTATTTTCTGTCACTTGATCTTAAACTTCGTACGTCAGAGTCTAGAATGTTCTGGATTAAATCCTGTTCCAACTATCTCCCATGTGTTATACAGAAAGGGCTATTGGCCTTGGGCTTGAACCATTGCCTAATTACACACACATGGTGACAGCTGGCACTCCCTAAGGACTCAAGTCTCTATCTGGTAACATGAGACATTATTTCCCACTTCTTAGTAGACTGCAAAGAAAAATACCTACCAATTTGCCCAGCACAGAGTAGGCTTCTTGTAAATGTTGGTTGAATTAAAATCTCGAAATCTCAGACAGCATGAGGTCACTATGGACAGTTTATCTCCGAGAATCCCGTAAAACCTAATAAAGGGTTACATCATCTGGGGTACCATAAATATTTAAGGATTAAAAAAATGATTGTGCCATTAAAGTGGGTAATGATTCCATCAGAAGATCAGATCACAGTGCTCCATCTGGCAGCTCAGGTCTCTGAGGAGAAGGACCTGGTAAAGCCACAGCGTGAGGCAAACAAAACCTCGCAAAGCCTTTATAAAATCCCAACTCCACTCTCCACAATCTCTGAAAACTTGTAAGGTATTTCAGGTTTGGAATCAGAGATATACTTTTCTAGGGTGTTTTAGAAAAAATCTTTTTGACTTCAAGGTAAGGTACAGATAACTTGTTCAAAACTGTGGAGGGGGTGCAGAAAAGATGCTGGGATAAGATCAGAAATGCACAATGAAACTATTCTTGCTACTGCTATTTTTGTTGTCAATAATGATGATGACAGCTACAATTTATGGAGTGCTTACGATGTACTAGTCACTGCACTTAGCACGTGGTACCTATTACATCTGTCACAGCCACCCTCCGAAATAGGTACTATTAATATTCCATCTTTACAAGGGAACAATCTGAGGGCAAGGAGAAGGTAATGATCACTTGCCCAAAATCTTTCAGCCAGGAGGTAGAGAAGCTTGAATGTAAGCCTTAGCAATTTCACTCAAGAGAGCACACTTTGGAAACCACTATGTCCTACTGTGCCCTCCGTGTGTGTTTCAATTTTCTACTCTTTTCCTGAGGCAACAGTTAGCCCAACAAGAGTTTTTCTGAGGGGCATTTGCAGTTGAGTTGTGCTTCTGTGTCTCCTAAAGAAACAGTCCAGGTCCTAAGCTACTGATGTTATCTCAGCCTTCTTAAAATTTATTAACTCTCAGCCTTCCTTAGATTGAGATTTTTGTGGGCTGGGTGCAGTGGCTCATGCCTGTAATCCTAGTTCTTTGGAAGGCCAAGGCAGGTAAATCATTTGAGGTCAGGAGTTCAAAACCAGCCTGGCCAACATGGTGAATGCCTGCCTCCACTAAAAATACAAAAAAATTGGCCAGGTGTGGCGGCTCACGTCTGTAATCCCAGCACTTTGGAAGGCCAAAGAAGCAGGATCACCTGAGGTGAGGAGTTTGATACCAGCCTGGCCAACATGGTGAAACCCCGTCTCTACTAAAAATACAAAAATTAGCTGGGCGTGGTGGCATGTACCTGCAGTACCAGCTACTTGGGAGGCTGAGGCAGAAGAATCGATTGAATCCATGAGGTGGAGGTTGCAGTGAGTCGAGATCGTGTCACTGCACTCCAGGCCTGGGCAAAAAAAAAAAAAAAAAGGAAACTCTGTCTCAAAAAAACAAAAAGAGGCACATGCCTGTAGTCCCAGCTACTCTGGAGTCTGAGGCAGGAGAATCATTTGAACCTGGGAGGTGGAGGCTGTAGTGAGCTGAGATCGTGCCACTGCACTCCAGCCTGGATGACAGGGTGAGACTCTGTCTCAAAAAAAAAAAAAAAAAAAAAAAAGATTTAGATTTTTTTTGCTTTACTGTTTGGGAGATTCTCTCTCAGGCACAGGTGGCGCCACATTCTCTGAAGGCAAGAAAACCTAGTGGGGCTGACAGAAAGAACCAGAAGGTCAAGGCACTTCATGGTGTGATCTGATTTCCTCTTGGTAAAGGGGCTGTGAGCCCTCCACATAGACCCCCAAGCAAGAGGATTCTAAGTAGCTCTATCACTTTTGATCTGGAAACTTTTATCGTCCTTTACAAAAATTCATCTCTATATACTTAGCACACAGTAGGTGCCCAATAAATGTTGGCTGAATATTTGGTTGAAAGGAAGAGAGCACCCTGGGACCCTGTGGACCCAGAAATGGACCTTTAGATCCCCCACCATGCTGACTTTTACCAAGCCAGGCCATGCAATTCAGGACCTCTCTGCAGAAGATTTATCCATGCTCTGTGCTCATCTCTTCGCATGGATGGGGGAAGTCTCCAGACATTCAGGCAAGCAAGAGCAGGCTGTTAGGCAATGACAAAGAAAAACCAAGGACTACCCAATGTTAACGTGTTTTCTGAGAAAAACATGACAGCCATGCCTAAGACCCTTAATTGAGCATTAAAATAAATGAATAGATCCAGAAGATACACAGATGGGACAGGCAACTGGATGGATGTGTTCTACTTCTGGAGAGCCTTTTTACAACAGTAAATCTTTAGATACAAAAGAAAAAAAAACCACTTCCATATTTTTGAGCCAAATTTAAAGAAAGGCATTAAATATAGAGTTACTTACGAAATTTCAAAAAACACAGTGTACATTTTAATCCCAAGGACATGATCCCAACACCTAAAAGGCAGCCACAGGATTCCAAGAGGATGCCTCGGCTCAAAACGTCTTTTAAAATGTCCAGTTGACAAAAAGGAAAAAAAAGATTTAGATTTTTGCTATACTCTTCGGGAGATTCTCTCTCAGACATGGATGGTGCCACATTCTCTGAAGGCAAGAAATGGCAGGCTTCTCGCCAGGCAAGAAGTACTAGGCACCTGGCAAGAAATGGGAAAATGGTTTATGCCCTACAGGGAGAAGACTGCAAAATGTTCCCCCTAAGAGGGTGGAAGATAGAGATGAGGTGACCAGTGGAGGCTTATGAAGACAGGCACAGCTGTGAGTGGTCACTGCCAGAGGTGGGCATGAAACAAGGGGAAATTGCAAAAAGGAAAGCAAAACAACGCCTTGTTCATTTTTTCCTATTTACTTATTTAATGTAATTTAGCCATAAAGTTGAACAAATTAACTTTAGACTAGCATGCTTCTTAGCACCTAGGAAATTATCACTGGAAGCAACTAAGTGACAAACACCGAGCTTCCAAGAAAGACCATATTCACTGAGCAAGGTCTTTCAAAGCCACATTTGTTATCCTTCATTTTTAGCTATTATTTAAAATATTAAAGAATGCCATCACAGTGCTGTAAATATAGTAAAGGCTGGTAAGTTATGGCTATCTGTTTTTATTTATAAGGTTTTATTGGAACATAGTTGCACCCATCTGTTTACATACTATCTATGGCTGCTTTCATGGTACAATGGCAGATTTGAACATTTATGACAGACATTAGGTGGTCTGCAGCACCTAAAATATTTACTATCTGACCTTTAAGAAAAAAGCGTGTTAACCCTTTATTTTAAATATAGCATAGTAAGGCTTGGCTACATAAAGCAGTTAATGTAATTAATAAAATCAGCCTATCAAATAGGAAATTATTATATTATCTCTTATATACTGGTTGGTGAGAAATATCACTCAGCTGGCTAAGGATCAAAATTCTCTATGGCATTTTGTCTATTTAATCTGCCACCAATATGCAAAATTATTATTAAAACCAAGATTATACTACTCCTAATGGTCCCTAAGATGACTTAGCACCCTTGTACTCCTGTAACATGAGCTGAAGGGACAGAGGAAGAATGACATTTCAAAGAAGAACATCATAAATGAATAAGTGAATGAACAAATCAACGAACAGCAAAGCACATTTGTGCAACTGGGATTGTAACCTCCCTCTCTTAAAATGTCAGCGTGGTCACATTCTTCCTCCATTCCATAGCCATCCCTACTCCTGGCCAACTATCTTCTATGTATGTACATTTGGTCCAAAGGAGAAAAAAGCAAGAGTGTTTCTGTAACAATCCAATCCATCAGTCACAGTAAGGGAAAGTTTAAGTAATGGGGACACTGATGATTTTGCATGTTCTCAGATACATCAAGACTAAGTCACTTTATTAAGATCATTTAGTCTAAATTGAGCCTGTACTTCCAAATAACAGAGAAACGTGATCTTGAAAATTATAATGATCTTAATTCAGGGTTTACACTCAATGTTAGGGAAGGCAAATCTAAATTTCCGGAAATGGCCCAGAATTCTTTTTCTAATGAAATAGCAAGGCCAAGTCTTGAAAAAAATCTTAATGGAATTGGTAACTTAAAAGTATAAGATGTAACAAATGGCTCATTGAGATCTTTTCCACATTTAAATGTTCTAAAAAAAAAAAAAAATCAAAAGAAGCTGTATCATACCTACCACATATGTTCCGCACCATCTGGCCAGCCACTTTTCTCTACAGCCTATTCCCCAGACACCATCTCTTCAGATGTCCACCTTGGCAAATTCTTACAGATAATAACTGCATCTAAAACTTCCTCTGTACCATATTCATATAACCAAGTTAGAAAATGTCAATACAAATTTCAAAATGCAATAATTTGCAGATCATCAGGAATAGTGTAACGTGTACAATGTGTCTCTTTGGGTTTTTATCATACAAGTCTTATATTCTAAAGGAGTGCTTTTTTTCCTAAACAAAAAAGGAGACCCAAAAGTGCATACATTTTGCTAAATTAAAAACAAAAAACACATAACAAATTATAACTATCTGATTAAAAAGATTAAAATGGATGTGTTAATTTTTTAACCAAGTCAATAATTTCAATTCATTTCTTACTTTGACTATATCCTATAATTTATTTTAAATTACACATTGTTTCCCATTCACTGTATTTTTCTTCCTGTGTGGTTATGAATTTAATTTGATGCCTGTAATTTATTTCAGCAATGATTCATAGGAAGTTAACTAGCCTGACTACAATTGTTTCAGTAGAATTCAATTACCTACATATAATAAAAATAATTTTCATAACAGATAGATTTCCCCCCATAATACAGCATACAAAGTTGTTATGATTCAATTGTTTTTCTACTCGGTGTTGACGTACTCTCAGCAATTTCAGATGCATTTATTTTCACAAATGAAATGACATCAAGTAATACTCCACTGAAATCAATGGAAACCTACTCTCCATCTTTTTATTATTGGGTTCTATGATCTATTTATTTTGATTCTGTCTTATTCATTTCCTCAGGTTATATCATTTCAGTGAATCTGCTTACTCAATCTTCACACTTTAATTTAATGCTTTTAATTTAAAAACTGGCTTTGGAATAATTTGGCATTTCTTACACCCATCTAAGAAAATCCTCTCGTTTTCCTTAAAAGTCCCTAAATTTCTACTAAATACTTCTTATGAATTTTGGTAACTGGTAGTATTCTGTGATAAAAACTATGAGACTGAAAAAACACAAATGCTTTCCTTTTGTAAGGACATGGATTAATTCTGTCTAAAGTAGAAACAAAGTCATTCTGATTTAGTTTAAAGAAAGAGCTCTCTTTGTAGGAGTTAGTGAATCACAATAGCTGGGTCGTGTTGTTCTGCCGAAACTCCCAGGAAAGACCCCAACTAGAAAAGCAAGGTCAATTTATAAAGCTGAGTTTAATTTACATTCTTAATAGACACTGCGATAATTATCTACAAATATTAATTCACAAGCTATGGGGCACTAACCGCTGGGCAATAATACCCCAAACTGAGAGAGAAGCATCGCTCCATTACCAACAATTGAAAACAGATGGGAAAGGAGAAACACAGGAAAAAAAATATGTATGTGCATAAAAAACTGCATAAAGTGACAAAATTTACAGGATTAAATTTAATGAATAAAATCCTTTGCTGAAATGCTTAAAAAACATAAAACAGATCCGACAGCTCAAGAATTATATAACGCATTCTATAAATAACTATGTCAAATTTTAAAATGTTAATTTCCATGGAAAGAATTTTTTAATAAACTTAAAATTAAATCTGAAGGAATACCACTTTGACAAGCACGCAGAAACATTTGTGGCTATCATTTTATCCTGTGTATACCTTGATGATGGGAGAGCAAACTGGGAAACTACAAAGCGTTTTGTGTGGGCTTTGACTTTGTATAGCCAGCATACTAACTTTGTTCATCTAAATGCAGATTAGATAAGCCACCCTCCAGATCAACATTTATGGTGGGTCACGTAACAATCACAACCCCTCTTGCTGTAGATCAGGAAAAAACAAATTCCCTGGCTTGTGTTCTTATTCAAGCATGTACCATACATGTCATACTAGCTTCTGGTAGCGTGATATTTTTGAATTATTTAACAAGCAGCTAGTGTTTATACATTTAGGTAATTTTTAAAGTTCCTCCAAAAATTATCTTTCGCTTCTAAATTTGTCTCTAAAATCACAACGAATGACTTTTCATATACAGGTCGTCAGGGATTAGTAGCAACCTGTAGATGTTATTAAATAAGATTTAATTGACAAAATAATAGCAGTCCATAAGACTAAGTGATGATAAGATACACAGTTGTGTAGTAATGATTTTATATTGGTTACATGACCCTTGCTTCCTTTTGGTGAGAAATTTTAAAAAAGGGATTTTTTTACAGAGACCAAAACAGTTTTATCTGCCATGGTTGAGTACCACAATAATAAAAATTAAAAGTATGTACTAAGTAAAATCATCTATTTTAGGACAAAATAGTGGAAGACTATAAACTGTGATAGGCTTCCTTGGGACAATGCTATATTACATTATCATACCCCCCCAACATGCAATCAACTTAGTCTCTAGTCATCATGGAAATGAATTTTTAAACTTTGATCTCACTTCCTCAGCTTGATAAATATTCCTAAGAGCTTCTCTTATAGCTATTTGGTCATTTATGAATTTTTTTTTTTTTAAGACACACAAGAAAATACAGGCTGGGTTTTTGGTGGGGAGGTGTAGGTTTGATATAAGGATTGAACTAAACAAATGATTTTAAAATTACGGTGTCATGTACTTAATGCTACTGAATTATATACTTAAAATGGTAAATTTTATGTTATGTGTATTCTGTCGCACCTAAAAAAATTCATTTAAAAAGTAAAATTGCTGTGGTTAGGATAAAGTATTATTGTGCACCGATGACATTTTATATAAAAACAAGCAGTCTTTACCCCAGCATACTGTGAAGCTGAAGTACAAGTAATTGCTGTATTTTTGTGGTTTAAAATGGTTGACTATCAGCAATTTCATAAGGTTCAGCCTGTACCTTTATAAATAAAGTGAAGTTGTGTACACGTCCTGGAGAATTACTCTTTAGTGACTGTCAGTGGATGCAAGGGCTGTGAGAAATAACCTTAGCATGATGGCTTTTTATATTAGAGCCACTGCGGTTATAGAATATGTTTTTGTGCATTTATGACAGTCTATGACTTTGAGTGAGTGAGATAAATTACAATGCAGTGAGATCCATTAGCTAACAGTGGCTGAGCTGATTCTATGGGACATCAAACTTGAAATCAGTCATTATTTAGAAAAAAGGGACTAATTTTAGTTTCTACTTTCTGCCATTTTCTTACTCCAAAAACACTTATTCCTCCAAAAAGCCATTCTGTATATGAAAATTGTGGTACATTCTAAGATTCCCTTTAAGAAATAAGACCTTTATCAATTATCTTCCCCCAGTCTCCAAGTCATAATTAGCAGAAGATTCCCCCCCCACCACGCCTTTCCATCAGCACTAGGTGACAGAGCTGATGTCCCCTCTCTGAAGCTCCAACTGTAAATGACTATTACATGTCGTAGTCAGGGCCTGATATAAGAAAGAGCAATCATATTAGAATAAGACAATTAGAGAATGCCCAAATCACTACAGCATTAGCGGAACCAAAGCAGAATTAACATGCATGACCCTCCAGTTCCTCCTCGGCATTAGCAGAAAACTACACATTCTGTGTTCCTGGAATATGACATGCAGGACACAGGACCTAAGTTATAATTACATTAATTAAAAATAGACAGTTTCCCCAATGCATCTGCCCAAGGTGATAAACTACAGACATCCTTCTATGAAATACCACATTAGTAGAAAGATTTGGAACAGGAACAGGTTGAAGAAAGGCTGCTCTATTAATTTAACATCAGCCTACAGGAAAAAAAATCAACCCTGAAAGCAAGACCATGCCATAGGGATTGTCTCAGAGCCATTTTAAAAGAGAGACAAAACCGGGCTAACCCTTTTTAAGCACCCCTCAGTGAAAAGCTTTAAACAGGCTATTGTCAGAGTGCTGGGTACCTTTTCTCTCTTGGCTTTGTTCAGTATTTTCCTCGGCTGCAGTTTCCATGGCTGGCTTCATACCATCCACCAAAAATGCTTTTGCCCCTGCTCCCCCCAATACACACTTGTTTTTCCTCCTCTTCCTTTTCTTTTGGACTCCCCTCCGTCTCTTATTTACACTCGTCTGATTGAGAGGCTCTGTTCTTCACTACAGTAGATTACAGTCCCTTCCAAGATGCAAAAGTCTTGTCAGCGTCAATTTTGCTCTGCCTACTGGTCCATAAAGACAGCTGCCAAGGGGCAGGCAGCCATACGTCACCGAGGATCCCAGTTAGAAAACAGCCATTCGGCGCCCGGCGGTGCCTACAGTCTCAATGCGGCTCCCGGGGGAAGGACCTGCTCCCCACCGGCTCTTCCTCCTTGCTCTCTTTCTTAAGATCTCAATCTTGATCTCACTCTCTCTCCCCACCTCGTTTCTTCCAGCTAAGTACACCCAATGAATGCTAATTAATTCTCCCAGGAAAAAATAGATCTGTGACATCAGAGGAGGGGATATAAAGGAGAAAGAAAAGAGCCCCCTACCACCATGTGACTTAGTTGGTCGACAGCAATATATGTCGTCTCTAAGGAGATTGCATGTCTTTGCATTGGCATGACTCTTTCTTTCCTGTGGCGACCCCTTTATGATGTATCAGTTTATTTCATTTACCCCTTGACCCTGGCAAAGCATGTTTAAAGGATGTGCCCATAGTCTCTATTTGCTTTCTTAAATATTTGTCTTTCATACAATTTTTCAATAGGTACGTGGCTTTTAATATAAATTAAAGAGGGGAGAAAAATACATTAGAGGGAAGAAAACTCAAACATGGGTTTAATGACAGCAGTGTAGCAATTTGGTATTAGAACCCACTCCCTTGTCTCTAGTTAATATATATGATAGTAAGAGAAACACAAGCCTAATTTGTAAAAAAGGCACCCTTCCTTATTTAAAAATAAGCATAACATGTTCACAAGTACATCTAGCTGACATTTTTGGTAGTGTCTTGGAATGAAAATCAAAATAGTTTTTTAACTGGATATGGTATTTCTATATGGAGTTTTACTCATTAGAACTCCTCATTCCAAATCAAGAAAGTGTTTTTAAGAGCTCTCTAAATAGTCAACATAAAGGTTAGTATACCAATAATGATTTGCCTTCTTGCATACCCAGATACTATGAGGCCAACATTCTCAACCCATGCTATCATATTATAAGCCTTTATCATGATTTTGAGCCATATGTTTCCAAGCATCACTAATTTCTGCACCATTTTTTATGCATTTGGCTGACCAACTGACCTTTACTGTCCCTATAAAAAATTAGAGACTCAAGTCAAATACAGGGATGACCATTAATAGGATTCCCAAATCATGAATAGTCTGCTAGTTGGTTGGGCTTAACACTTATCTTGGAAGCAAACAGAAAGACAAGTTGGAGACCACCCTCTCCTAAAAACATTCTCCTAAGTTTTGATGGTTTCTTGCTCAACTCCTTAAAACAAAAAGGATAAGGTACTGAATAAAAATCCTCTAACAACCTGATCTTTTAACACCTTGGTTATAGATAATCCTTCAAACATTCTTACATTTAATACTTCTAGATGTGTTACACTTGAGAAGATTTTCAAAACCAGTTTAGCTTGTTTCAACATTTAATTTTACATCTTGCTTTTTCCCTTTACCCATTGTCTTAGAAGACCACGCCCACAATCAAATATGTATTCCCTCAAATTAAGGCCCCAGACAATTTTATTGTCTCCTGGTCAGAAGACCGAGAAGTATGACAGCCTAAAACCACAGACTTTAGAAAAAAGATTCATTTGTGATACAATTATTTCCATAGGAAAACCCTATGGTGTGTCCCGATAGGACAGTCTTAGACATTTTTTGCAAAGACTAGTTAGGTCCATTCAAATAGAAAGGTGGCAAGTGTTGGTTTCTAACAGGCTCGTTCTCCCAGCAGTTCGAATGAGAATCAAGACCAAAATAAAATTCAATTCAGCACAAAACAAGATACCGTGATTAGCTATGCTACTGGTTTTTAAAGTGTCCAGCAAAGTCATCTGATTATAGAACTCACAGAGACTAATAATTTTCTAGCTGTTGCTTAAGAATATTATTTTAATAGTGATACTGGTGAAAAGGCAGAATATGAGAGACAGTCTTAATTTAAGAACAACTCTAGTTCTATATCATAGATATCAAAACCATTAGACAAAACATTCACACATCCTCCAGTTATACCTGCATCTACTTTCCCTCTGAAAAATTATATATAAATGAACAATTCATCACTTTTATTCACAACTTTTCACTAGGATGATAATATATTACAATTCTAGAAGTTACCATTATATCACTTTATAACAGCCTCAAATTCTCACTGTTTATGACAAACCATTTGAACAACAAAAATTGTCAAGAGGAAGAGAGAAAAGAATATTTTTTATAACATTTCTGAGGCATGCATCCATTTCTGGCCAGGAAAGTTCTATAAGTAGAATGAGTAGGATGGAAAATGTCTTCCAGAGCTGAAAATATATCTTTGCGCCCCATGCTCTAAGGCAGTCTGGTTAAAGGTAAGAACACCTCTGAAAGCCAAAACAGGAAAACAAAAATACTGAACAAAACAGATGTATTAGATTGAACATACGAAATTGCTGATATTGACTAAGAACAGCAGTTTCACATGGTTTGACTTATGTGTAAGTCTTCTGTAGAATTGCAGCCAGCTCAGTAAACATGTATGAAATAATCTCCCTAGCGCCAACATCTACAAGCAGCACAGACATGAAGAAGTGACAGTGCCTGTCTCTGGGTAACTCACAGGCTAATGGGACACAGAAAACTCTTCTAAAACAGGGTTATCCTGCCTGCTACAAGCACTATGGTATCACAACAAAGAAAATGTGTGGAGGGGGAAGAGAATTTGAAAAAAGCTTTGCAGAATTGAGTTGGCTATTGCAGTAATGCTTAGAAACCTCCTGGGTAGGGTAGGGAAGGGAAAGGTAGGGAAGAGGAAGGGAAAGAGTTCTAGGAAAAATTGAAGGGGATATGAGAGGAAAAAGAGGGTACTGTCAAAGCATCAGGAAGTGATTGTTCTGACAGAGGGACTGATGGGAGATGGCTGAACCAGTAGGTTGGGAACAAGGTAGGTTGGACACTTTGCTAGCTCTGGAGGCAGTAGGTAGAGATAGAAGCCTTGAGAGCAGAGCTGATCTATGCTTTACAAAGGTCATTCTATTGGTAACATGGAAGACAGGGTGGGTAGGGTAGGATGAGACTAGAGGCTGGCAAACTAGTCAGGAGTCTCCTGAAACAGTACAAGCAAGAGACAATGTGGACCTCAACTATGGCACAGGGAGGAAGTGAGGACCCAGATGCCATTGGATTGGATCTGTATGAGTAGGAATGGAGGGGGATTTTGAGGGAAGGCTACAGTTTCTAGCTTGGGTGAGTGAGGAGATGATCATGCTGGGAACCAATATGGGGAACCAAAGAGAAGGAAGAAGTTTGATAGGGGAAATTAGCAAGTGTGGTTGAGAGTGCTCTTAGGACATCCTGCAGGGGCTGTCCAAGAGGCATTCAGGAATATGGCTCCAGAAGAGAGGAGCTGGCCAGAGACCAGCATCTGGGAGTTTTCAGTGTAGAGGAAGCCTTGGGAGAACAGGAAGTCCAGTTCTGCTCAAATGCCATCTTCTCAGGGGACTCTCCCCAACTCTCTTGTCTAAAATAGCAGCCCTGACATTTCTGGCCCCCTTAATCTGCATTTGAGTTTCATCATAGCTTTAACCACAACTCAACACCGTTATTCACTTACTTGTTCATTACTTCCCATCCTCCTAGAATACAGGCTTCTGAAAAGCAGAAATTTTTATCTGTCGTATTCTCCGCTGTATTACCAACTCTTGGAACACTTCTGGACACACAGTGGGTCCTCAATAAAGTATATTTTAAGTGAATGTTAAATAAACAACCAGAGAGAGATACAGATTTTAAGTATACCAAGATCACAGCTTAGAGTACACTACCTTTTAAACATAAAGGTAAAGGAAAAATTTTTAAAAGAGGGTAAAAGAAACTAAGAACGACAAATCAGAAAACGAGAGAAATAAGACCAAAGTGGAATAATGAAATTAGAGAAAGGTTCTGTGAAGGGCATAAAGTTAACAGTGTAAAATAGTGTCAAATACCATAAAAGGAGCAAAAAGGATGAGGACTGACAAGCAGAAAGGAGCTTTTACTACCAAATAGCCTCTGGAACTTCTGTGAGAAGGTTGAATGACTGGGAACGATACAACACTTCCCAGTCTCTTTCACAATCACCCTCAAAATAGGAGGCTCCCACACTCCAGTTGACATATTAAACTCATACCTAGGGCTTTGGCTGATGCCTGTACATGTTGGCCCTATTTTTAACCTGGTAAGATCATACTGAAGTTTTCTTCTGTAATCTATTACATTAATCATCTTCCCAGATTTGTTCTGTTTTCAAGCATAGTAAATATGCTTTATGTGTCTGGGATTCAAATCATTGACAGAAATGTTGAACACAAGACCAAGGTGAGGAAATCCCATGTAGATCTCTATGGACATCATCCTAGTCAACTGACTGGTTCATTCTTTCATTTGTTTGTTCATTCATTCATTTATTCATTCAAGATTCATTAAGCACCTATTATATGCAAGAAATCGAATCACTACTCTATGCTAATATGACTATGACTGTTCAAGTGACCGAGAATTCATCAAGATGCATAATGATCTACCGACATATCCTTACCCTAGTCACACAGTTAGCAAATATTTTGTCAAATGCCTACTTCTTCCAATTTTCTAGGATTGTATTTTAGGTTTCTTTTGGCTTCTAAAGGACTCCTCAGTGTGGAGTCATTAATCACCAAGGAAGGATGTTTCCACATTCTAACTACTAATTCCTCTGCAATTTTGGTGTTTTATGGAACATTTATGCAACATGAAACACACGCAGGAAATCAATTCCCAGAACAACAAGCTCACACTTGCTTGAACAAATTTTTTTTTTCTCTTCAAGCCCCATTACACAGCATTTTTAATTTTAAATAAATTCTGCTTAAAATAAGTTTGTGTTAAGTGTCTCCTATTTTCTTTTTTTTGAGACAGAGTCTCGCATTGTCACCCAGGCTCAAGTGCAGTGGCACAATCTTAGCTCACTGCAACCTCCTCCTCCCAGGTTCAAGCAATTCTACTGCTGCAGCCTCCCACGTAGCTGGGACTACTTGTGTGCACCACCATGCCCAGCTAACTTTTTTGTATTTTTAGTAGAGATGAGGTTTCACCATGTTGGCCAGGATGGTCTCAATGTTCTGACCTTGTGATCTGCCTGCGTCAGCCTCCCTAAGTGCTGCCATTACAGGAATGAGCCACCACGCCCAGCCGATCCCTTACTCTTTTTACTTTTTTTCTTCATGTATT